AAAAAAAAAAAAAAAAATCCACGATCAATAGACACGAATTCCAATTTCTAATTCAAATCGTGCTCATTATATGAGCAATTTGCATGAACGCAGAGATAAACGATATAAAAAAAAAACAGCATATAAAATTTTTCTTAACAATCATGAATTATTATTTGTTAATCAATCGATTAATCGAACCTTTTTTCCTCTCGAGCGATCTGGCCGACGGATGAACATAGCCATCGGACAGGTAACCAGACAGGTCACCGGCGGCGGGATTCTCGAGGCTGCATGCCTCCAGATTTCCGAGACTCTTACTTTTCCTTATGGTCGATCCGCCGCCGGCGACGTCGATCTGAACGCCGAACAGCTTGAAGGCGCCGCCGCCGCCACAGGAATTGCCGCCGCAAGCTCTCGAGTTGTGAGCCTTGTGGCCGCACTTCCTCGCGTGCTCGCTAGGCATCCCTTTTTTTTTTCTCTCTCTAATCTGCACACGCAAATCGCGTTTCTCTCTCTATACGTGTGTGTATATATATATATAGATAGGGAGAGTGGAGAGATGAGGATTGGGAGGTGTAAAGACGGAAAAAACATGGAGATTTTGTTGTGGATTATGAGAGACCGCCTTTCATATATACGTGCGAAATTCGGATTTTGTTATAACAAAGGCTTTACCATTATACTATGATTTAGGGGTTGATTTTGTTAATTATGTAACATGGACATTTAATCCATGTTTGTTTACTCATATATAATCATATCCAAGTTGGCAAAAATCATATATAATCACAGAAAATCTATGGAGCAATCGAATGGTTCCCTTATGGAGCCATCCATAACTTTATGTAATGACACATGTCCAATATGTATTTATTGCAGGACACGTGTCAATACACCATTTGCGATTAACTATAGATGACTCCATAAGTCGAGTCATCCGATGATTCTATAACAAAACCGTATATAATCATATCCAAGTTGGCAAAAATATTTTGGGGTGTAGGTAAATTTAGTATATTAGATTAGATTAGGTAATATTCCAAGGGATAAATAGATAATACAAATTTACCATTGTATCCTTTACCAATTCTATGTAATTTGTCGATGCAAAATTGCAATTTTAGTCTATTATCTTTATTTGTCTTTTTATTTATTTTTTTTGTAAACAATTTTTAGTATTTCAATTTGGTAAATTTTGTTTAAATTTCTTCCTTAATCTTTTGTCATTCTTCATTTTTCATCTATTAACTTTTATTTCCGTGTCAATTTTGTCCAACTCCACTTTTCGACTTACAAAGTTACAATGGAATAATTTTATTTTTAAGTGTTAGTCACTCCTCGTCAATATAAAATAAATTAAAAGATACTTTAAAAAAAATAAAATTGAATTATGTAAACGAACATATGTTAATTATAATTAATAAAATTTCTCCAATCTGATATTGGATCTATTTTCATTAGAATAACAAAAGATGATAATAATTTCGCCGATTTTGATATTGCATATGTGTTGTAAACGGAAAAATTAGACATTTAGTCCTTTAAGTGACGTCGATTTGAGGTTTAGTCCTTTAACTGACCAACTTTTAGAAAAGGTCCTGTAAGTCTCAAAAAACCTGAGATTTAGTCCTATTACAGGCAAAAACATGTCACTTTTACCGGCTTGCCTACGTGGAATTTTACACGATTTTTTTTTTTTTTTTTTTTTTT